CCCCGCTGGGGGCGGGGGGGGGAGGGGGGAGGAAGCAGTCGTGGGTCACCCTCCCCAGCTTCCCTCACGGACCCTGCCCTGTGCGGGGAGCCGGGCGCTCGCCGCGCCTCTTCCCCCGGCCGCCAGCCGAGTGCTGCTCCTCCTCCGGTCGGGCCTGCGGGGGTGGGCTGTCGCGGTGACCTTTTTTCCTCCCACCGCCCTCTCCGCAGTTGTCGGAGGTTGTTTGGGGTGGGAGAGCGGCTTTTCCAACCCGTCATCCTTTACCCCCTCTGGGGCGTCGTCTCCAGTGGCCCCGGCGTGGCAGGGAGGGGGCAGGCAGGCTTGCGTGACTTTTTTTTCTTGCACGAACCGAGCAGGAGGAACAGACGCTTGTCGTGGGGATGGTGTTTCTTTCCTTCCCGATCATTTCTTGTGGCTCACAAATTTTTGCAGTTGCTTCCTCGGTTAGCCAGAGAAGTCATACCGAGATAAGTTAGTTGTATGCAGCTTCCGTTGGAAGAAGCTTTCTGGCGTGGAGTTAGGCAGTCACTTGCGGTTTCACCTTTAAAAAATAATTAAATAAGACCTTGTCATGCTTAAGTCTTTGACAGCGGGTTTGCGTGCCCGTCAAAATCCATGTCGTTCTCGGCCTGTGGAGGTGACCTACTTTCTAAACAGGGAACGTATATGGTTGTCACACTGTAATACACACTGTAAATTGAACTGTGCCAAATTAATTACACCAGGTGTTGCTGTGAAAATATGTCATGCATGGACCAACTGTTTCACATATAATGTTATCCCAAGGGATGATACCGTTTATGCCATATTCATTTAATCGGGATTTCAGTGGAAACTGAAGTGTCCTGAGCTGAGGTTTTTACCAGTTCTCTAGCTGTGGAATGGAAAAATGTAGCTTTTACTCAAAATGCCAGATCTCTGCTAGTTTGACCGTGACATGAAGTGCAGCTGGGAGGACTTGACATGACATAATATGCTCCATCGCCACCATCTTGACGGTGAACAAATGGGCTGATCTTCCGCTGAGAACAGCACACGGCATTCTCCTAGAGAAAAGCCAAAGAAAAATCCTGTGACTTGAACACATTTTTTGTTGTTGTTGTCTACTTTCACTTTATACCTATATCACTAACCTTTAGCAATTATAATGTCCTCAACTGAGGACACAAGATACTAAGAGTCTAGTTTGTTGCATCTCTTTCCTAGATATGGACATAGCACTTGCAAGTCCTGCTGTGGCAATAAGTCCGTTGAATATTGATATTGCTGATTTTATGGAAGAAGATAAGATTAAGTTGGGGGATCTGTACTGCTGAGTACATCTCTCGCTTTGTTCCAGTTGTAATGCTTTCATTTTACCACCTGAGGAGAAACTAAATCAAACTTTACTGTAAACAGATTATACCTTATCAAGTATGTCTGCTGCTCTGAAGAAGAAGAAAATACCTGCTTTCTGTGATTTCTTTTTCTTTCTCCATGTGAGCCAGTCTATTTAGGAAAATTTCTCTGCATCTTAAAAACTTCCCCCATTTCCAAGTAATTTTTTAATCAGTTCAACTCTGCCTATCTCTGGCTAACTGATAGCTTTCACTCTCTTGTCTCTCTAAAATAGTGAGAAATTATTCACACCTGTCTCTTATTTTATATATGATCAGTACAAGGCGACAAATTGGTGGCTATCAATAGTTAAGTATCAGTTATGATAATTAAATATCAGTTATGTTGAGCTATAGCACTGTTCAAATCCATCATTTGGCTGCTGGAAAGGTGACAGTTTGTGGGTCTCTAGCAGAGCGCTGCTGCGAGATTTTGTTTGAGAAATGCTGCCTGTTCCATAGGGAATTGATTTGAACAGCAGTGCCAATTTCCTGCTCTTGTATGACTGGGAAGCTTTTTCTGTTCTTCCTATAAAGCCCCAATATCTCTGTCAGTTTCTCTGCTCTTAGTTTGTCTTTTGTGCAAAGGGAGGAGGTGGGATTGGGGGAATACCGCAGCATACCTCTATAATAATAAGTCTCCATACCCCACATTTTCTAGCAGTAAAGTACTGAAGCTGACATGGTGGCTAGTTAAACTCTGTTCTGCAGGGCTCTGCATCAATCAGAGTTTTATTGGTTTTTTGCAGCAGAGCTTCCAGAAGATGCACTGGAAGGAACCTGAAAGATGAGATGAATTTGATGGAATAGAATAATATGATGATACAACTACAACTCAAGGGCTGCACATCAGTGTCTGGAGTGCATACTGTTGATAGAGAGTTTTTTGTTCACTTGCTTCTTACCTGTTTACATGAAATTCAGTCTCCCTATTTTGACAGTGCCTGTGCTCTGTCTAGGCTGCAGGTACAGGTAGAACCCAATGGCACTAATGCAGAACTTAGTGTGGGAGAGTTTACTGTGCTTCTTGGATAGACTTTGCAGTCCATGTGCCCTTATGGTTGGCATTGCTGCTGGCTTCAAAGTAGTAGCTTAGAATTAGTTCAGGACTTCACTGCAGTCATTACTCCTTCTCAGTCTCAACCTTCCTGTGCATAGTGCTTCTCATCTTTTCCTTATTAATTTGTCCTTATCCATTCCTTCCCTTATGCCTGGTGCAGTGTCTCAGTCAAATATTTTCTTTCTCCAAAAAATGTCTAAGTGATAATTGATTCAGCAGTGCTCTCCCATTGAAGTAGCTGTGAACTACCATTTGACTCAGTTATTGGCAACATGGATGAGTAAGAGGTTAAACATGCAGAATGAAAGAATATACATTTTTTCACTTTCAAGAGCAGCCTACTTGCTGAAATGTGAAAAAGGCACGTATAAAGCTATGTGAGAGTTGAATTCTTATTTAGGAAAAGTTCAGTTGTTCAGCTGACTTACATTCTCTAATTTTTTTAGATAATCCTATTTTCAACAAATAGCAGAAGATCACAAGCTATTGGATTTGTTATCTAATTATGGGGAAGACACTTCAGTCTTCACATGAAAAAGGATTGTACTTCCTTACTGACCATAGAAGCCTTGAGCTGTAATCATTCATTCCGTAGTTCAGATTATGCAACTAAGTCAGTACTTGTATATAATTTGGAGAGGAAGGGGGAGTGTCTTGATGTGGGAAGAAAAGAAGATCAGGATTGAGTGAACGAAACTTTTGTGGACCAATTGTCTTTAGACTTACTTTGTTAATTAATGCCACTATTCTTGGTGCTTGACCAGCTGAATGTTACCTTTTGAACATAACAGCCTACTTGCCCCTAGCAGTTAACAGGACAGCTGTGCATTTCAAAGTCCAGGTGCTAAGCAGAAGAAAAGTTCTGCTTGAAGAAGGTGAATTTGCAAGTAGGAGGAATGATTGAAAGCCAAAAACTTACTATGTAATGCCCAGATGACTCACTGAGAGGTAGCTGGGGGAGAGTGGAAGGGGGATTGCTACTAATGCAACTGCTACTCAGGCCGAAATGATTAGACCCATTGCCTCAAAGTTCTAATATAGTTGCGTATGTACTGGTTCAGCCGATGGGTAGAATCACCTGCCATGTTACAATTTCTACAGTCGTTTCTTTGCTCAGCATCTTGATGTGATTGTTAGGTTTGTTAACATCTCAGTTTGAAAATATATGTAAATTCTAAAAATAATTTTCTGCAAACCTCTTAGATGCTTGATATTCTTTAGGTAGTATTTGGATTTATTCTAAACTGACACTGAGTTGTATGATTGTTTTTAAACAAATAAGAACTTTGTATTAAAGATGCAGTTGTACTAAGGACAAATGCTGCAGCAAGATGAAGAATACAGTACTACAAGCTAAATAGCAACAGTAAATATTTTTTATAAAATTTTTGATATTGCAGTTTACTGAACAGTCTATAAAACTGTACAAATGTTATCAATTCTCAGAAATTCATGCTGAAGTGCAGTTGAAGAATTACGGAAAATTTCTTGAGGAGTATACGTCTCAGCTGAAGAGAATTGAAGATGCTTTGGATGACTCTGTTGGAGATGTTTGGGACTTCAGTCTTGATCCCATTGCATTAAAGGTCTTCATATATTTAATATGCATTGCAACTGTTATTTTCCTAGTTCCTCCTTCCCTTCAAAACCTGAGAAGTAAAAGCTTGATGCATTTGTGCTCTTAAAATTTTGAGTTTTGTGTTTGAGAAACCTATCCAGTACTATGTGAATTATCAAGTAATTAGTAAATTGGTGCACATCATAAGAGAAGATGTTTTCATATTATTCTTTTCCAGTCTTTTGGATACTAGTGGAAGTTAAGTGAATTTATAGTTCTTCATGTGTTGGGAAGCCTAATTCCAGCAAACTTCTTCCCTGTGGGTGTTGGTGTTTTTATCTGGGGGTTGGGGTTCCAGAAAAGCTCACTAATACTTGTATAACTGCAGAGCGAACTGTGTGTGTATTTATAGTGGTGTTTTGACTTAATGGCCTTGGTACAGTATTTTCTGTCCTCCAGAGGTGGCTATTTCCTTGGTCATGAGTTCTCCGTCTTCTGTGGAGCATTTCTGTTTTTCCTCTTCACTGAATTTGCAGACATCATTTAAAAACACTTTGGTTACCATATGGAACTTGTCTGTGCTAAAGATGCGCTGAAGTAATCATCTGTCTGAATAATTTGAATAAATTATGCGTAGGGCCAGCACAGTGCTGGATGTATATGAACTGGTCGATATAATGGCTGACTTCAGTACAAAATGTCAGTGTCTGCATACACGTATACATTATGCATCCTATTTCCTGCATTTGGGATCCTTAATTCATGTTTTAGGTTTCCTGAGCTGTTTTTTCTACATACATCATAGTGACCATGCTTTTGCTTTCCAAGTTTTGTAAGTAAATTGTAGTAAATGCTATATAGTATAGCTAGTTATTTGCCTTTCTGCCTAGAGTGAAAGGAAGGGTATTTCCATGTAAATGTGAAGAGCGAAGGTTTCCTGCAGCGTAGGTTGCCAGTAATATGCAATTATTGCTCTCTGATTACTGAGCTTATTTGAGATTAAACTGGGGGGAAAAAATGACTTAGTTGGGTAAATGTATTTTTGACCAACATTTTCTAAAGTTGTTTGTTTGGTTTTGGTGGGTTTGTTTTGTTTTTTTTTTTTATTTTAGCTTTTGCCTTATGAACAGTCCTCCCTACTGGAGCTCATAAAGACAGAAAACAAGGTAAACACTTTATGCTTACAAGAAAAAAAAATATAAAAGAGTTATTCTAGCTAAAACCAAGCTCTCTAAACATGAGTCTTATCTGTAATCTGTGTGGTTTTTTCCCCTTCGAGTCTAGGTTCTAAACAAAGTAATAACTGTGTATGCTGCCCTTTGCTGTGAAATCAAGAAGTTAAAATATGAGGTAAATTCGGCTGACTCTTATTACTGTGTATGAAAATGTTTGCAGATTGGCAAGCTGATATATAAATTTATTCTTTAGCAGTAAAGAATATAATGTCTAAATAATTTTTAAAGCATGATTACATATATCCTATTTATTAAAAAACATTTCTGCTTTTGTTGTTAGGCAGAAACTAAATTTTATAATGGCCTCTTGTTTTATGGAGAAGGAGGTAAGTAGCTCCCTTTACTGTAAAAGTTTGTAGTTCTACGTTATTGTTTCAGGTTATGTTAAATGCTACAGTAAGTGTAATTTTATAGTACGGATACATGCTTTCTCTGTATCTTTGACTGACGAACACCAAATAATGGACTTTGAGGTTATAGTGATCTATGTTAGTGTCTTGTAACTGTCCCGAGTTAGCTTAAGATAACAGTAAGATTTATCTGTTACATTAACAGAATGTTTTGTTGCAGTCTTATTTACATGAGAAATAGGGAGTATGGGCTGTTGAGGTTGTATTGAATGTATAACATATGGAAACCTGAGCTTATATACTGTAGCAGCTGTTTTTCAAAGTATGGCATTGAAAACCTAGTTTTCACGTGTGAACACACCCTAAACCAACTTATTTCCTATTGGGCTAGATTTTACATTGGTTGTAGTATAACAATAAATCTGTAATTTGATTGTAATAGAACAATGAAACCATTAATAAATAACTTGGACCAAGTCCTGCCTACTCTACTTACGCAATCGTAGTTGTTCCAAGAGAAGTTGCAGTGTGTTAATGTCATCTGCTCTTCAAGTGCAGGTAATAGTACTTGTACTGCTATTTAGACTATGACATAATAGAGGGGCATAAGTGATTGTAAGTCAATTCAGTTGACAAATCATGAGACCCTGCTTTAGGTTAAAGCTGCTTTTTGTCTTGGAGTTAAACTAGTAACTCCTTGGAAGGGTTGGTCTTAAGCTTCCACCTTAAAGGATGCTAGTCTGGGAATAAGCACAGATCTTGGTCCCGAGGACTGAATATATTAATGAGTTGATTTAGAGACATGTCACCTAACTTTGTTTTCTATTTCAGAAATTTGAGAGAAAGGGAAAAGTAGTAAAAAGGTCTTTTTAAAAAGCTTTTCAAGAGCCTTGACTGTGACAGAAGTACTGGGGAATGTGAAATCTTTGAGATAGGGACTGTTTATCATTCTTTTAGATGCTATGTAAGATGACTGTTGTGGTTCAGTTAAGGAACATGAAAAAGTCTTTTGATTTTTTTTGTTTGGGTTTTTTTCTTAGCAGATCCTCACTTCTTATAAGACATGGTTTCAAATATCTTAAAAGAAAGTGATGTGCTGCCAAAATGATACCAGGGGATCCCTCAAAACTTCTCCGTGTCTCCAGCATGAAAAAAGTCAAACTGTTGCAGATTAACATATTACAGCAGCAGTTTGTTCCTGATGGGTGTTCTGCAGGGAATGCTTGAGTATGGCAGGAACTGAGAGGTCAGCCTTCTGTCGGTTAGGTGGGGATGCAGAAATCATGTTCTGCACTTCCATATCCCTCCTTTTAGCATCTACTTTGATAACAGCAAGCTGGCTTACTTAAAACAGCTGGCAAAGTTACTGGCTCAAGGATGGTTGAAATTTAAACAAATACTCTGCTGGCCTTTTCCTTCTTTATACAGAAACTTTATTTTTTCATCTTGTCCTTGGAGTGGCTAGGGCTAGTCTAGGAACTTGAAAAAGTTAGTTGAATTGGGGTTTTTTGGGGATATACACTAAACAGAGTAAAGGTTACATAAAATGTGTAAAGGGGAAGCATGCAAGACTTAGAATCTTGTCCCAGAACTCCATCTTACAGAAGTATGGAGACTACTTTAATCTCTGGTGACTGCTCTAGAATAACATACTTTATGAAGTAATAAGACCTGCATTTCTTATGCAGGTAAACTTGCAATTGTAAGCCATTTTTGCTCAGAGTGGCCCAATAGAAAAATCTCAAGTCTAGAGCGTTAATCTGTCATCACGTTAAAAAGACTGTATTTTGTCAGGTAGAATTACAACTGCTCCAACTGACTGAAACAGTTTGGCATTGGTGATGTAATTATTGTATTTCATAGTATCGTGTTGGTGTATGTTGTCATACAGGTAATGCTTTGAAGCTATGGTGATGAGCCCGTTCTTTTGTGCAGGATGATATGTAGGAAAAAGAAAATCGATTTCTTGAGAAAATTGTATGCTACACAGCTTTTTCTTCTGATTAAAGATGTAGTATATTCTTTCAGTAAATAACTACCAAGGATGTTCCTTGCAATATAAATACCTAATGACTTCATACCAACTTTTTAAAATGGAAACTTTTATATTAAGTTACGTAATATATATGCCCTTAAAGAATTATGTTTCAAATTATTTTCTTTCAGGTGATGGAGACTTTTTTCCTGCTTTGTGTCTAACTTATAAACAATGTAATTTTTAATGAGAAAGAAACTTCAAAAATAAGTCCAGCTTAGGAAACCAAAATTAAAAGTTTTTAAGGCTCTGTCAGTATGCTTATAATAGTGCGCTCCACTTGTATGACAAACAAATGGCTTGGAGGGCAAGCTTCAATGTTATTTTAACAGGTCTAACACAGGCTTTTGGAAGTAGTGACAAATATTTGTCTTTCAAGCCACAGATTCTAGCATGGTGGAGGGAGATTGCCAAATACAGATGGGAAGATTTGTTTCTTTCTTGCAGGTAGAGTATGTTTTGATTTTTTTTTTTTTGACAGCAATTATAATCTTAATTTTACTTGTAAAGTGGATTTAACAGTCCGCAGTATCCTGCTTGCAACTTGCTGAAAGTTGCAAGTTATTTGATACCTTACTATGTTTTGCCTGCAGACCTGTCACAACCAGCTGATGTATCACACGTTGTTTTGTTTTTTTTATACTTGTCTAAAACTCTGGAAGCCTAATGAGAGAAGAAATTACAGTTTGTGTAATCATTGTTCAAAGAAATTAGAATTTACTTAAAATTTCAGTAAGAGAAGATAAATTGAGGTTGTTTAATTTGATGGTAAAGTTAGATACCTATTTTTATGGTATTGATTAATAAGTTTTAGTTTTCATTGAACATTGGAAATGGATTAATTGTTTATACACTTTTTTTAGCTGATAGAAGAAAGTAAAATTAAAACATGTACCTGGAAAAAATTGCTTGTGCCTCGCTCAAACTTTCAGGGAAGAACACTCATTTCTTATACAGTTTGGTTGTTATCAGGGCCCTTTGCATGAAAACAGGATCTGTGTTTCTTCTGAGGATTTCCTGTGCTCTTGGGTTTCAGTCTACTGTGGAATTTTTTTGTCTTCAGTATAGCTTAAGTGACTGTCCTGTTCCCAAAAATTTTTCTATTTTTACGCAATATTGCTTGTAATGAAATACCTATGTTGAAATAGAGAATATACAGGAAGCTTCCAGAATGTTTAAACAGATTCTAGTTTAACAAATGTTAAAATTCCTGTTGTTGCTGTATACTAGCATGGCAGGAGTCATTTACTGAGTCATAACAGGTTGAATGCTATAGGAAGTTGTTTCTCAACCTCTCTTACCGTGCCCGAGTGCAGTTAGTTGTTAGGGTATCTTTGGGGGGGGGTTCCCCCATTTTTCAAAATTTTGTTCTATCAACTTTTGTCAGTTTCTTCCTTCATCCTCTGTTTCTTTCTGAGCAGATGTTTGAGAGACCTTTTAGTAGCTCTGAAATGGGGCTACTGTACACTTGTGTTTTTCCAGTTTTTGTTTGTTTTTTCCTGCCAGGATGCTCTGTCCAGGTGGAAGTTGAGAGCAGGGTGACTGCCTGTCTGGATATCTATGAGCATTGCAAACCCACTCTGTAGAACAGGTTTATGTTTATTTGTGGGGTATATGCTGATCTGTATATTCATAGGGTAAACACTACACAAAAGTATAGCAGTATTGCTTGTGAGCCCACTTTGTATGTATGCTATGGTGGCTTGCTGATTGTTGAGCAACTTGGGAAAGAAGGGAGATGCAGGATGTTGCCCTGAAGGGAAGATTACAGTGCGAACAGGTGTACATTGCTTTGGGTAAAGCTATGAGGAAGACTTTTTCCTTATTGAGTTTGTTCTTTTTCAACTGTTGTGTTCCTGTAAATCCACTCAGTAGTGGTCTATATCCATAGACTGGGAAATGCTGTTCTGGTCAATGTTATAAGCATATCCCCAAGGGCAGTGTGAAAAGATGAATGAAGATGACAAAAGAGGTGAAATGTTGCTTTCATAGAGCCAATGTCCACGTATTGGTTTATTTGCTCTTCTGAGTTCAGGATTTCTTGATTAACTAGATGTAATAGCTGCAAATTTGCTATATCAAAACTTTTTTTTTTTTTTAATTATCAAAATAATGCTGTGAAACACTAGTTAGGTACTCTTGATCCTGTAGAAGACAGTGTATTTGAAGAACTCTGATAAAATTATAATCTCATCTGTATTATGTAGCTGCTAATATGCATGTGCTGTTAAATTGGACTATTTCCTGGAAGTTCTAAAATGGCAGCTGGTGCTCCTTCCTCAGGAAACATGACCTCAGGTGTCTATTAATCCATTCCTTTGGAATCCATTGGCTTGTTTTGGCTGTATTTGATAGAGCAATACAAGTATAAGAAGTAACAACACTTTTATGTTTTGTGAAAACTGGTGACTAATAGAAGGCAGAAGCCCAAATAAGATCTATTTTTGATGGAGAGGAAGACAGAATTCAGCTGTTAGCCAGTCTTCTGGCAGGAACGGCAGGCTGGCTGGTTAGCCAGTGTGGGCTGTCTGCTCTGAAGCCATCTGTGTCCTGACTGACTAGACTCATCACAGGCTGACTTTTCCCTGATGGGATAATAGGATGCATTCATGAGAAAATATTATTGCAGTTAAGGGAAACTCGGATTCATTTATCCCATTGCTCAAGGAATGCCTTGTTAAAATCCGTTATAGAAATTAAAATAGTCCTTTATGTGGTTGGGGTTGACCTGTTCTTACTTGTTTTGTACTATATAACTGAGCTTAAGTTCTGTGTTAGTCAAACATACCTCTCAAAGACATTGTTTTCTTTTTTTGAAAGCAGTATTCTGTGACTAGTCACTCTTACAGTAGATACAGGCTTCTGTGTTAATTTCTAATTTGAATTCAGCTATCACCAGCTCGCAGAGTGCGACTCTTGAGTCTAATAGCAAAGGCTGTGCGTTTTCCCATCAGGGATATTCTCTCTTAAGGTACTTGGGCATTGTTGTCAAGTCACTTCTTACTGTCTTTGATAAATTGAACTCTTGAAAACTCTTACAGCAAGATAATTAAAGTACATTGAACCTGTTATGGTGACTCTTCTCTGTACCTTCTTTAAAGAACCAATATCCTTTTTAAAATGTGGCCTTGGGTATCAATTCTGGTATTTTAGTATCTAGATTGTCAAAGCCATATGCAAGTGTGAAATCACTTCTGTTTTCCTTATTATGCTTTTCTTTGTGTCCAAAGTGCATATTGGTCCCTTATAGTCCGATTTGTACTGGGAGCTTGTGTTCAGTAACTTCTTAGCTTAGTCCCAGATCCTTTTTCAGAGCTGTTAGTTACTAGGGTGTTTTTCATCCTGCTGTAGGTCTGTCTACTGACTTGGATTAGGAATGTAGTTGGAGCTTGGGCTGCGAGTTCAGTGGTTTATGTTCAGTGTTTTGGAAGTAATGACAACTTGTGTATGAGGAGGGTCTATACATATATATGCATTTTATTTTCTTGTATTTCAGGAGCTGTCTTGCTTTGTTACCCGATGTTACGAAGTGGTGGTGAATGTAGTGCATCAGTTGGCTGTTCTCTATACCAGCAACAAGTAATTATTCCCTAAAATGCTATATTGTTTTATGTACTTAGACAAATGTATAAAATATGAATGTTCTGCCTAAGGCATGGTCATTTTTGGAATATTGTTGTCTAGGGATATCGAGAGTGCTTTGCTGTGCAAGTTTGGGCTTCATAAGCCGTTACAAAAGTGGATTTGTTTTATTTTCAGAAAAGGTGGTGCTTTTATATAATGAGATACAAGAATTTTATTTTTTTGCCTCTTTTTTGATAGAATTGATGCTTCAGAGGCACTTAGTCTTTATGATTAAGAGATTGTCTTACTACTCTTTCATCCTTGTTCTGTTTGAGAGAGTCCTTCTGTTGACTGATACAGTGGATGCCAGTAGCTTCAGAAGCTTGAAAATTAGATCACTTCAGTCTGTTTCAAATATGTAAATAAATATGGTACATATTCCTCACAGAATAACCATGGTTTCGGCTAGCATTCGGAGTTTAGCTCTGAATAGAATTGTTGGGTTTAGCTCTGAATATAACTGCAGGGCTCTTGATCCTTCCCCCGCCCCCAATAGGATAGCATCATTCTTCTCAGTTTTATTTGTTTCTTTTCATTTTTGTCTTACATTGTAGCACAAGGTAGACTTTCTGTATGGTGCTGAATGAACAAGGCTGCATGTGTAGCTTGGATGTGGCTTGATTAAACACATGAAGTGATTTTGTACTTTTGGGCCACAAGGCTGTATGTATCAAGGCTACTTGCTGTTAGCATAACTGAATTGGGAATTGCCAATATACACGTGCACTGAATGAAATCAGTGGTTTGAGCCAGTCTCATGATGTACATTCAAAAATGCAATATTAACTTTGATCATAGCACACAGATTTCACATAGCATATCCTTTTAATCAAATTTTGAGGTTCTTTTGTTTTCTGAAGTTACTATGTTAATGAAGAAAAATGTACCCCAAGAAACAAAGAACACACCGTGATACAGAATTGATAAATATGTTCTGTTCTAAGGACTAAAAAGGCATTAATTTTTTTTATTTACAGGAATGCACCTAAAATTATAGAAACATCTGGAGTTCATTTTCAGGTGGGAATGATTTGGAGCCCTTTTGCTTATGTTAATATATGTATGTCTTGATTATTAATCCTGAGAAGAGCAGCAAGAAAGTGAGTTTCAAGTACAGCTTTCAATCTGTAATTGCCTTCAAAGGTTTTATTTTGTTAATCAGCTTTTTCTGGCCTTTATGTGGAAAGGGCTGGTATCGCCATGTCTGTCATATTCTAGCTTTCTTAGCTGAAAAGTGTTTGCACGCTCCTGTATTGTGTGCAATATGTGCTTCTGCATGTAGACAATTTTAAAAATTCTACCTTCAATGTCGAAATAGATCAGTGAACTCTAGTGTTCCTTGTGTCACTATAAGAAATACTAAATCTTTAAGATAACAAACCAAGAAATCTGATTTAACTCTCTAGCTGATGTCTTGTTGGCTGATAATATTTTGAAAGGAACTGAAACTTTATATGCCATCCATGACTACAATAAACTTTTCAATAACTACAGTCCTGTCCTGTTTTTTTTTGTGTGGTTTTTTGTTTGTTTGTTTTTTAAACAGGCAATGTACGAGCATCTGGGAGAGTTGCTCACAGTATTAATCACTCTGGATGAAATAATTGACAATCATGCCACTCTGAAAGATCACTGGACCATGTATAAGAGGTGTGTCTCTGAAGGTGTGAAAAATGCTCCCACAACATAAAAGATAAAAGCATGTGCGTGTGGCTTTGTTCCAAGAAAATTAGTGTGGGAACATGGATTTTGGTAGCCCTGAGAGTTTTCCAGAAATCTCAATGAAGAGCAGGGCTAAGCTCCCACTTTGTCCTTCTAACAGCACCAGTAAGTTTTTAAAGTGCTGAATGTTACATTTACAATACACGGTAAGCATCTTGACAAACAGAGTTATGGTTGGTGGGGTTTAAAATATATTCAGTAACAAATCTAATTTTGTACAGAACTGATCTAAGACTATCCCTATCCATATTGATCATGGGGATGGGCATACAGATTTAAGTAAGAACGCTATCTTAAGTAAAAGCTGAGAGTCGACAATTATAAAGGTTGTTAAATTAGTGGAATAATAACCATTTCATTGAAAAACTAAATAAATGGGAGTTACTCAAATGCATATGGCTTATGAAGACCTAGTAGGTTTTTGGTTTTGTTTTTTAATTTTGGAGTTGCTGCTGGACACAGATGTAAGCAATTAAAACCTATTCTCAAAATAGTACAGGATATGATTAAACTGTTAGCATGTTTTAATTGTGTTTGTATGTATGTGTTCCACACCTACTCCTTACAGGCTGCTAAAGTCTGTCCATCACAACCCTTCTAAGTTTGGGATACAAGAAGATAAACTGAAGCCATTTGAAAAGCTGCTGTTAAAACTGGAATGCCAGTTGCTTGATGGAATGATATTTCAGGTAATGAAATTAATGTTCCCCAGTATGATAGGGGAAACTATTACATTAAAGCCAGACTCTTTTTAGAATGTTTTGTGAGTTTGTTTTTATTTTGTTTTGTTTCGGGTACAGTGATGTGTGAATTTGGCTCTTGCATCTGTGCATGGGGAAAAAAAAAAAAAAGGCTCTATTGTAAGATCCTTCTTTGCTCTTCTCATATGCTAGAACTGTGCCAGGCTTTGAATAGTAGCAGTTAATGCTTACTGTTTTGCAGAATTAAAGAAACGCAGACAACTTGGCATTGAGACTGTGTTTTATCAGGGAGTCTCTTTTTCACCAGAGATTTTAATAGTGGTCAGGCTTATATAGCATAGGTCCACTTTATTTTAGTTGCAGGTTAAAGTCTCCTCAGTAATCTTAACAAAAGGTCACACAACATATTTTCATGTATTTTGTCTCATTCCTAGCATAAGAGACAGGTAGCTGTCATGGGGTACCACTTCAGTGGTGTATACCCCCAAAACATGCAAGTGTACAGGTGGATGAGAAGGATTATTACTTTTTCAATATAGTTAATTTAAATGTATTCATACAAGAAGCCATCTTTTTTTAGAAAAGTGTGTATTTGAGACACTGAAATCGGATGTTGTGGCATGGTGGGCAGAGGATAGCGTTGCTTAATCTGGTCACAGCAGAGTCAATTGAACAGGACTGTTGCTCAGTTCTTACTGTTACATCTTAAATGGCATAGGGAAGAAGGTTTTGTTCTGTAAAAGCCTCCAAAAAGGAAATTGTAAATAAATAATTAAACACAATTTGGCTTATTCTTTCAAAGGACGCTGCTACCAGCTATCCATGTTTCATCTATATTTCTCTAATGTTGCATTAGTACAAAGATGTCATTATATGTTTGAGACATCGGTAGGATTTCTCTGGTATTCATTCAGGGTGTTTCCCCTCCTGTCCTGCCAACACCCCTTCCTAACAAAAATACATGAAAAATATTCTTATATACAATTCCATTAAAGACTTTTCTAATATCTTCAGAAAATCTGAAGTGTGTCTCTATTTTTTTTTTTCTTTTTTTTTTTACTAATGTGTGGCTTTTGGCAATTTTTTTTTAAACAACCACCAGTGGTGTGGGGGTTTTATGCTACAAGTTCATGAACCACATCCTACAAGCGACTTGCATGATAATTTTGTGTAGTTAATGGACAGTTAGTAACATATTATAATGTAATGATGCAAATATACATCTAGTTTCTTATCATTAGCACATCATGTGGTTTCTTTAAAAATGCCCCTTAACAGAAATGTTAAGTAAATAAAATGTTTCTTTGAACGTTAGGTATAAGAGAGGTTTTTAATGTTTTCTGTTATACCAAATAATTTAATTATACTTTAAAAAATGTGTATGTTGTGAAGTCTAAGACTAACTTCAGGTTAGTGCTATACCACATAAATCAATGTGCTCTTGCAGTATTCTTCTCTTGCAAAATCAGTATTCTTTTAAGGTTCAAAATTCATGGCATTATCATGCTTTTTTTTTTTCCTTTTTGCTCAGGCCTGTATAGAGCAACAGTTTGATTCTGTAAATGGTGGAGTGTCAGTGTCGAAGAACAGCACGTTTGCTGAAGAATTTGCTCATACTCTTCGCACAACTTTTGCAAATGTTGAAGCCAAACTTGGTAATGCAAGCTCATGCTTCTCTTGCCAGCTTCACTGTTTCTAAAATTGTTTGTATTGTTTGTCTGGGAGTAGACTTCAAAAAAAGGATTTTTTTTTTTTTGGTGTATTTCTGCAGGTGAACCTTCAGAAATTGACCAGAGAGATAAGTATGTGGGCATCTGTGGCCTCTTTGTACTGCATTTTCAGATTTTTCGGACCATAGACAAGAAATTTTACAAGTCATTGTTGGATGTCTGTAAAAAGGTGAATGCTTTATTCTTTTATCAATAAATAAAAGGGGGGAAAAATCTTCAGTAATGAAGTAGATAATTTTCTTAGTTGTATAGCATAGCAAAGACTTGGGAAAAGAAAACACACAATTTACCAAAACAAGCCAGAAAACAGAATTAAGATTTTTCTACTTATTGTAATTTCTTCCCCCCCTGCCATTTTCTTTTAAAGATGCTCTAAAACCTGCCCACTCACTTAGCAGCAAGGTAAAATAACTTGAAATTACCATTAAAATGTTTCTTCTCAAGATTAATGTGGCACTGAGGACAAAAAATTGTTTGAGTTTTATGAGTATTGTGGGACTCAATAAATGCTTTGGGTTTTGACTTTGGCTATAAACATGTATCTTGAAAGACCTCGTAAGTCCAAAGGTGATGGGGGCTTTTTCATATCAGGTGGTATTAAGAAATTATTAAATTCTCTAACACTCTTTAGAATCACTGAGAATGATAATAACTTTGCCTGTGGTGTCCTTGGTGGACTTCTAGGGGAGAAACCTTTTTTTTTTTTAATGTGAACGTAATACTTTGTAGAAAGTAGTTATGCAGAAATAAATGATTTGTGTGTTATGGTTCGAGACAGGCATAAGAAACATTCATGGTGGCATAGTATTTGTTGTAGTTACTTACGTTTATTGCTACTTGTAGTATTTTTCCCCCTTTTTTCTTCCCCCCCCCAGGTACCAGCCATCACATTAACTGCTAACATTATCTGGTTTGCTGACAACTTTCTGATTCAGAAAATACCAGCTGCTGCCAAACTTCTGGACAAGAAAAGTATTCATGCAGTTAAAACACAAAGGGAGAACTTTCTACAGCAGAAGGCACAGTCACTTACCAAGTATGCTTCCTAAATATTGCTTCATGGTGATGTTTGGCAAATAGTTTATAAACACATGGGTTTCTTCATTCAGTGTACTAGCATGTTGTGTAATGTTGCTCAGCGGTGTTAAACAACTCTTCCATTTCACTGCAGCAATATGTGTGTGTTAGTGTTGCTGAAAAAGTGTTGGTCAAAACAAAGCTTTTTTCATGTCATGCTTTCAGAAAAATGTGTATTATGTCACCAAAATAACAAAGTTCCTGGCAGTTCTAAATATTTGATTATTTCACTTATTTTTACTTACATACTTCCAATTTCCATTTTTTTTAAACTAGTGTCTAGTAACCTGAGCTGCTCTGTTTTCTATTAGGGCTCTCTGCTTTCTATGTGTTTATGGAGGTAGGTCGCTAGTAGGCTTATAAGGGTTTTTTTCTCTGCTTGGTGATGATGCTTTCTTTGCAAGTATTTCTTTTTTCATTACTGTTTTAATTGCTTGTTTAATGGTCTTTGAAATTACCTATATTTGAAAAGGCTTCTCTTCTTTCGTGCTCTGCATGTACTTTGCAGGTCACTTCCTTCTCTAAGTTCTTTCTAAAATACATTTAAAGATGAGGTGGGTTTTTTTGGGGTTGTTTGTTTTTTTTTTTTTTTAGTTGTCAGTCTTATGAACAAGTGTGCTGCACTCCATAGGGAGATAACAGGGCTAAGATTTCTGTTTGTGTTGCAGACCAAAACAAGAAGGTGGAAAATGAGGTCTGTGGAATAGAAGTAAAAACTTATATTTTGCAGGTTGTCTTCCAACCCTGAATACAAGCTGGCAGAACTGGGTTGGAGAAGAGGGGGGAGGGGGAAAAGCAGCTCCATGCCTACATGATCCTCTGGCAGATTATTTTCACTACTGTCCTGTTTCTGTTTAATCCACTTCTTCCTGGTTTACATCCTACATCCACAGGAAGAGTCAAGAGCTCTGACTGAGTGCTTTCATGGGCTTTAATTCCTGGATGGAGCATAATAGCACTGATGCTTTGCTTTTGGTCTTAGGCAGTGGTAAAGTCATGTCTTGAAGCTCTTAAGATTAAGAAAAGGTTGAAAAAGATCTGGGTATTCATGGACATTTTGAGGATATTGTAATACAATGCAGATTTTGCATCTGCTGATTTGAATTCTGTCAGTAACTTTTTCTTACTTTTTTCTGAGTTCTTGCATTGCCTTTGATAATTGGGCTGTTGCCTTAAATATGAGTGCTCTTTAAAGTGTAATTTTTATATGTCATAATCAATGACTTGAATACGTTCCTGCTATAACTGCTACAATAAATAGTATTGCAGTGTCACAATTCTGTAGCGTGGAATAAATAGCAGTTTTAAAAATGAACTCTATTTAAACATTTAATTACAACTTGTGTAATCAAAAAAGATTAACTTCTGGAGAATTATGCTATTTAAGAGCAGTCCAGTTTTGGCATTGATGTAATGAAAATATTTATATAAACACTAAAAAATTCAAACTTGGATAAAAAAATTAACATAAGTGTAGGACTTTTTTGTCTAGTGTTTAAAAGCATTTTCTAGCAGTTTTATTTACTGTTTTAATTTAAAGAAGTGTAATATATGTACTGCTAAGATGGCTATTTGTTCTCTTGAAAGGTAGGTGATTTTGACTCTTTGGGGTATGTTTGTACAGATTTAATTGGCAGACTAATCCTTACCAATACAGAATTAAAATGTAAATGAGTATGAGGTTCTGATACTTCTGGGAACAGAGAGTTATTACTTTCGGGACTGAAGATTTAACATATTTTCCCTTGGAAGAATTTAAGCTTTGGAAAGAGAAAAGAAAATCCTCATTCTTCTCATTTGAAGTGAGCAACGTTGTTTGTTTCCTTCTCCAGAGATATGCAGTCATATTATGTTTTGGTGAGCTCGTGGATGACAAAAATGGAATCTATCTTGTCAAAGGAGCAATGCGTGGATAAGTTTGCAGAATATCTTTCTAACCACTGCAATGTCTTCATCCAGGTGTGCAGTCTTTTAATGTGGTGATACAGCAAATGATGTAGCAAACTGATGTTTTGATGCAATTTGTTGAACATAAAAAGAAATCACAGAGGTTCTGTGATCATTGGTGTGTTATTTTACAATGTGGGCATTCTTCTAAAACTTTAAATGCCCAGTAGATACTCTTTTAAGTAAATCTGTAAAAGATACTTCCATAAGGTGTGTGTGGGAAGCGAATCTGACCAAATATTCAGTGGCTAAAATTTTGAATTTTTCTCTTGACTTAGGAAATCAAGAAAGCTTCACTTCCTCTGTAGTAAAGGTTTTGGGTTTTTTTTTCTTTTGAGTCAGTCATGAGGTACATAAGATGGACTGAACCAGTGTCTGATTTAGTTTTATTTAGCACAGTGCATACTTCCAGTAAGGGTTGTGGTGTTCCGTTGTGCTTTGCCTAGTGATGGTACTTTGCAAGAATCTTACTACGTTCCAAGGCAGCTGGTTTTCTTTTGGCCTACTAACAGCATGTAGTCTTAATGTAAGATGCATCTTATTTTTGAGTTTAGTTTTTGCTAGTTTTGATATGTATCTATCTGCCTGACAGAAATCTGATGAGAATAGGTGTGTGATAGAAGCATGATCCTGAATCTTCCTTATCTAAAGACATACATGTACTAGGATCTGTGGGTTATATATTAGAATTATTTGCAGTGGACTTAAGTAAATTTTGCTCTGTAGCAAATTGAGTTTCCTAGACCACTTGCTGTCTTTTCCTAGTCTCTTTTTTTTTTTATTGTTACTACTTTTCCTTTGAAATAAGTTGAATAACATTTTTGTCATGTTTTATGTAATCAACACTATATTTAAAAGCTTAGCATCCATTGGTTTAGAAATGATTGCTTTTTTATTGTGGGATGGACAGTTCTATTTAGACAGTGTAGAACTGTAAATACTCTCAGTGTATTTATTCCACGGAATCTGGAAGTTTTAATTTGGTTTTGTGATAGGCTGTTTTTTGGGGGAATAGGAGTTGTTTGGTGGGTTGGTTTACAATAGGTCTGAAATTATTAGACCTTTGAGGCTGTGCAATTAATTCACTGACCTATGTTTAATTTGAATGGCTCTAGAAGAGGTTAATGATCACGTTATTGATCAGGTGATCTAACAACTCGTAGGCAGTTTCATAATGTCTGCCCAATAAAAGGGTCTCACTCAGCTTTGGGGTCTCAGGCTTGCTTATTAGGTGGAGTGGTAGGTTCTCTAGTGTGAAGAGACAAATGTTAGTTCTGTCATGTATGAAAAAAAACAGAGGTGACTTACTTGATTGATACGTTGTGAAAAACTTCTTCCCCCCTTTATTCATTTTATTTTTAGGGTTTTCTTTATGCATACAGTCTTAGCACCATCATTAAAACTACAATGAACCTCTACATGTCAATGCAAAAACCTATGACCAAAACCTCGGTGAAAGCTCTATGCAGACTTGTAGAACTTCTGAAGGTAGGTTACTGGATGAAAACTGTTTATTTCATGTAAGCCTTTACAGAGAACATTGACCAAACATCACATATTAACATTTCCTTGGCCCCCACCCCAAAAAAACCCCAACCAAACAAAAAAAAAACCCAAACAACAAACAACTCACAACTGAGTGGGGACATGTTTTTGCATGGCTTCTTGTTCAAGACTGGATTTGGTTAGAGAACAGGAGATCTGGGAGGCTATAACTGATTTACTTAACTTCTAACTGCCTTCCTTAGTTGGTATCACAGAGTGATTGAGGTTGGAAAGGACCTCTGGAGGTCATCTGGTCCAACCTCCCCCTGCTCAAGCATGACCACCTAGAGCTGGTTGCCCAGGACCATGTCCAGATGACTTTTGAATATCTCCAAGGATGGAGACTCCACAACCTCCCTGGGCAATCAGCCTGTGCCAGTGCTTGGTCACCCTCACAGTAAGGAAGTGTTTCCTGATGTTCAGAGGGAACCTCCTGTGTTTCAGTTTGTGCCTGTTGCCCCTTGTCCTGTCACTGGGCACCTCTGAAAAGAACCTGGCTCTCTTCTTTGCGTTTTCCCTTAGCTATTTATATACATTGATAAGATCCAACCCCCCAAGCCTTCTTGTCTCCAGGCTGAACAGTCCCAGCTCTCTCAGCCTTTCCTCATATGTGAGGTGCACCAGTCCCTTAGTTATCTTTGTGGCCCTTGGCTGGACTCTCTCCAGTATGTTCATGTCTCTCTTGCATTGAGGAGCCCAGAACTGGACACAATACTCCAGGTGTGGCCTCGCTAGTGCTGAGTAGAGGGGAAGGATCATCTCCCTCAACTTGCTGGCCACACTTTTGTCTAATGCAGCCAAAGATACCATTAGCCTTCTTTGCAGCAAGGGCACACTGCGGGCTCACGTTCAACTTGGTGTCCACTAGGACCCCTAGGTCCTTTTCTGTCAAGCTGCTTACCAGCTGGATGGCTCCCAGTATATATTGGTGTATGGGGTTGTTCCTCCCCAGGTGCAGGACTTTGCACTTCTCCTGGTACTTTTTCCAAAAGGAAAAATACTGTTTTGAGATAACTTCAGAAAACAATGTTGAACAGAGCTGGATTATTTAAAAAAATAAAACAAAAAACCCAATAAACTTAAATCAGCCCTGAAACTTTTTTATGCTCCTGAATGGTTTGATTTTCTCAGTTTCTAAGGGTTAACTGCAACTGCTACTAACAGTACATTACAAAGTGGAAAGAGTCTGTATTTGCAGTGTGGATGGGTCAGCCAGCATAAAGCCAAATTCTAAAGGCAACAGTTTCGATAACTACATGAACTATTGTGTTTTGGGATTGACTTTAGGCAATAGAACACATGTTTTACCGAAGAAGTATGGTTGTGGCAGATTCTGTGACGCACATAGCTCAGCATCTGCAGTATCAGGCTCTTCACTCTATTTCTGTAGCCAAGGTATGTAATCTAAGTTCTAATAATTAATCTTCCTATCTGACTGTTTAAAAAAACATCTTAATTTTAAAGTATTCTTCTTACTTTTGCAAAATCTGTAGTGTAGTGCTCTATCATAATCAACAGATATATAAGCTTTCCAGTAGGTCAGAGCTTTGCCCTAGAAACCGTACAGCATAGATGGTTATCGGTTTTTGGCCAAGAATGGTTCCTCTCTTCCTCAAAACTGCTGCATCTCTTCTCATGTTCCTCTTGTGTTCTTTTTAGTTTTTATTTCTAGTGATTTGCACAAACTGACCTTTTCTTACCTTTTTTCTGATGCACATTCTTAAAGTAATCTGTCATAGGTCTAAGCAAACAGGCTGTTATTTATTTAAGTCTTTTTCTGCTTGGCAAAATAGCAGTGGTTAATACATGATGGCTTATAGGAGTCTAATGTGGGCATAAATTCACTATTTCGCTGTGGAGTAAAATGGCTTCTGATGGCGAGACATTGTAATACCTACATATTATATCTTTCTATAAACAAGATCAGTTTACTACACGTTTTGCTTATCAAATCTTGAATTTCTGAATTCAGGACAAATGGGAAAATAAGATTTTAGTATACCTGTTCTGATGTATTAGCGATTGTTTTATTCCTTCATCACATTCTGTAGTAGAATTACAAAAGAGGTATGCTATTGATATCAGTGCAGCTGTTAAGTTTTCCTCTTAATTTTTTTTGTTTTGGCCATGCTCACATAAATGGATTACAATTTTAACAGTAGACTTTTGTATTTTGGAAGTTTGATATGTTTGAAATTTGGCTGTAATCTCAATTTATGTATCTGGCATCTCAATATTTTGTAGCATAAGAAAAAAACGAAACTTGTACTTCTAAAAAGCTGATATATAAAAAATCGGGAGTAGCATGAACCAAAGAAGTTCCAAGCTTTAAAACTTCTAAGAAAAACTGTATATCTGCAAACAAACAGTTCACATATATTTAGATAACTTTCATAACCTTTTCAAATGATATCTATAACTACATTACAGATTATTTCTAAATGCATAGAAATATGCTGAGACGTGTGTATTGAGTGGATATCAAAGAGAACACATCTGTGAACAATTCTTGGTATTTTGACTACTTTTCAGAAAAGATTTAAGAGGCAAATGCTGGTAAATAGAACAGTTCATTAGTACTAATCTCTTTTTATTTGCTCCACTTAGAAATAAAGTGGTGTAAGGTCTAAGGCATATACCTAACATAGCTTTAGCATGTAAGGTTAGGAGTTTCATGTTGAACATACTTTCTTATTATAAAAAAAATTTTCTTTAACTCTTTAATGAAACTGTACCTCTTCTGAGTTATGCTGCTACTCACAAATACATCTGTGACTTCAACTTCTTAGCCAGAAGACTTGGTTCGCTTCATTTGTTCATGCAAATGTTTTTGCACTTCATCTTTCTGATAAATTAGAATTTGTAGAAAATTGCAAGTCGCTGTTATTACCATGTTTATACATCTTCTGGCTCTTCAGCTGTAAACTGGATTTTGTTACCAACAACAGGGAGTCACTGATTAAAAAAAAATTTAAAAAATTTAAATTACTTATGCCTTAGAACTAAAATTGGCATGCAGTCACATGCAGCTTGCACAGTGTTTGTATACTGTATGATCTGACCCATGTTCGTGCTGAACTGCACATATTCCAAGTGTATAAATAGGTAACACCACTGAACTGACAGAGTAAATGCATCTGGATTTGGTTAGCTCTGTTCACAAAACGTAATTTGTTTGCAGAAATACTCAATTTATGACAAGTCTATAAGCTTTGGAAAGAAGAGGTAAGCTATTGCTTTTGGGCTTAGGTAACTTTTCTCTGAAATTCTGTGTCTTTCTGTCATCAAGAAAAGAGTCGTTTCTGATAAAAAGTACAGTGAGCAACGCCTGGATGTCCTATCTGCTTTGGTGTTGGCTGAGAACACTCTCAATGGGCCAAGTACAAAACAGAGGCGACTAATTGTTTCCCTTGCACTGAGTGTGGGAACACAGATGGTAAGTGCCATGATTGTTCTAGACCTTTACTTGTTTGGTGTAGTATCTTATAAAGAAATATAATCTTGTCCTTTTTTTTTTTTTATTTGCACAGAAAACTTTTAAAGATGAAGAACTCATTCCCCTTCAGTTAGTTCTGAAAAAACTAGACTTGATCAGTGAACTTATAGAGCGGTAAGCAGTGGCGCATAATATATAGAAGGTAGTGTAGTGTCAGTGGGGGAGCTGGATCTTCACTGTGCGAATTGCAAAATCTGGTAACTGCACGCTGGTGGTGATTCTTGCATGTATTGTAGACCAGGGTGGACAGAAAGAATTCCAGAGCTAAGCCTGAAGTTTGCTGGTCTTTGGGCAAATCATATTTTACCTAACTGTTGCCAGTTAGGTAATCCACTTCTCTGATTGTTTAGAAATTCTGTCACTGCTTTCTTGGATGGCTTGGCTTTATGTTAAGCGAGTCTTCCTCTTAACCCAAACCCAAAAGTTATGAGTTAATTCTAGGCTGTTTGGGAGATCAGGCTGTTAGTTCACATGTGACACCGTGTTTTACTGCTGCTGTAGTTTTAGTGGGCGCTCAATTTCCATAATGTTGGCCATCTGAAAGCCAGGTGAGTATCTGGGTTCCATACATACTTTATGGAGAGAAGCAAACACCTTCAGTGGATGAGTTATGGGATAAATTCCTGGGACAAGTGTTGTACACAGGTTGTATCAGGAGAGGCCTGTTTCTCTTTTTTGACTTACAGGAGAAACTTAGAATATGTGTTTGACTTCTAGGCTACTAATTGCATGCAATAGGAAAATACTTATTTAGGATTTTGCTGTAATGTAAGGTTCAATTCTTTCCAAGACTGAGTAAACCTTTTTTCTAAAGCAGGTACCTTTTGTTGATAAATAGCCTAGTGGAAAACAAGGGGAAAAAGAAGTTCTTTATTCAAGAACTTTCTTTTGAAGGACAATGCATCTGGAACATTAAAGTAACCATATAAAACTTAGGCTTGCAACACAGTTGTCTTTTAGTTTATACACTAAAATAAAAATCACTGTGTTAGAAGAACGGCTTCTTCCTATTCTGTGTCTAATAAATAATCTTGTATTCTAGAATTCGAGCACAATGCGACTGTTGTTTCTTATACTGGCATCGAGCAGTGTTTCCAATCTATTTAGACGATGTGTATGAAAATGCTGTTGATTCTGCTAGACTGCATGTAAGTAACCATGTTAATAACTTAGATTATGTAGTGGGAGGGATTCAGAGGAGGAGAGGATAAAGCTTAGACAGAAACTCTTAAGGAAAATGCAAAAAAAAAAAAAAAAAAAAAAGTAAAACCCAGGCCAGAGTTACTACTCAGGCAGAAATTTCTTCTCAGTCTGGAGGATATAAAAGTAGTCTTTGTTCTAAATCTAATTAAAGTATATCTGTTAGATTGCTCTAAAAATCTCAGGTTGCTGTTGTTAACTCTGGATCTCCGTGCGTCTGTCTTTGTTCCTCCATTCATTCTAATTTGAAATGAACACCTTTTGCTAGACATGCACATTAAAAGTCTTTGTTCCACATTGTGGTTACGTATTTCTAAAGCACGTATCACTGTGTTCAGTGATGCTGTGTGGGCTAGTTGTCCTCTAGCTTTTTCCACCCCCCATCTCTTCTCCCTTCTTTGGAGTAGCAAGTATTTGCTGCAAAAGTGAATCATGCTTTGGCATACTAATCCTGATAAAAATCAATCATCTATTCCAGTATTGTGCATGCCATGGTCAATTACAGTACTAAAATGGTTATAGTGTAAATAATTTCAGATGAAATAGCTAATAGTTATGACCTTCCAGTAAAAGGATCAGGAGCAACTAAGTACTTCAGATGAACACAAGGACAGGAAACTTCAGTAGTGTTTATGAAGTCTATTTTTAATAAAAGTGGGAAGACTAGCGATTATGATTTCTTTGTTAGCTTGGAACACTATTTGAGATGTTGTTGACACGTCTGTCAATCTGTTGGTTAAGCATAATAGTTTCTTTTTTCAGTATATGTTTAGTGCACTACGGGACTGTGTACCTGCTATGATGCATGCAAGACACTTGGAATCTTACGAGATGCTTCTGGAATGCTATGACAAAGAAATCATGGAAGTGCTCAATGAGGTAATTTGTTGTGAATGGAAATTAAAGGCAACACTATGCTTGGAATATCTTACAGGCCAGCATCTATTGTACCGACCTGATTTGATCTATAAAAATACCACAGAGGCCTTTGAGATTGTTGTGAAGTATTTTAATAAATAGGAAAGGGTTCACTGATGATTTTGGTTATTTAAGGCCTGTTGTTAATGGTATCTGTGTTGGCTGGGAACGTGAAAATATGGCACTTTAAATTACGTAAGTTGGCAAAACCTCAGTTACAGATTAGACTATGCAGAGAGAGGAGTGCTTTTTGTCAGATTAGCTTCTGCTTGTATGAATGCCTAAAATAAGTACTGCTGTTCTTAGTATGTATGCATGGCTTTTAGTAGTGAAGGCTCTGTAAACGTAGGTGGCCTCTTTAGTGAATTATTATCCAGAATTACAAAGGACATTTGACAGAGAGAAAATGTGAATTCAGATTTCCCAAGTCCTAGGTTTTAACCTTTGAACTACTCTTTTTGTTTGACTAGCTCAAAACCAAACATTACATATTCTGCAGAAAATCAGGCCAAACTGCTTATTGCAAGACTCTTCCTCAATGATTTAGGTCTTACTATTATCTAGATAGCCCTAAGCCTAGTTCCCCTTAAGATGAGAAGTGAGAATACTTAAGTTGAAATTGTGTTAAACTCCTGCGTGGAAGTTTTAATCATGTACAGAACGGCATTAGGTGGCTAAACCTTTACCTTTTCTGAGCTGTGTAGCTTTTTTTGATGTTGTGTACGAGAGCAAGAACACAGGAATTAAAAATCCTTCTGGTTCCCAAGTATTGATTCACTTTGACTTGTATGGCCCTGCCAAAGCAAAGCTGTCTTCACTAGTTTAAAACATCTTGTATGTGTCTCTGGAGAGAGATGTTAGTTCTGCTTAACAGAGCATTGTAAGCGGACACTGAACGTGACTTTTTTTTTTACTTCCCTGAATAGCACTTGCTGGACAAATTATGTAAAGAGATAGAAAAGGACCTGCGCTTATCAGTTCATACACACTTAAAGTTGGATGACAGAAACCCCTTCAGAGTTGGTATGAAGGATCTAGCTCACTTCTTCTTTCTGAACCCAATACGTTTTTTCAACCGATTCATTGACATAAAAGGTGAGGAGTTACACATTTTCTTGATTCCGTTACTTTCATCTCTGTTACACTTTGGCTTAGTGCATCTTTTCACTTGTTTCCACGCTTCCCTAACTAAATAGGCAGTATTATTTTAGTTCATCCTTTTATGTGTTTACAGCTTATGTAACTCACTATTTGGACAAGACCTTCTACAACTTAACGACTGTAGCTCTCCATGACTGGGCCACCTACAGTGAAATGAGAAACCTAGCAACTCAACGCTATGGTCTAAGTATGACTGAAGCACATCTTCCTAGCCAGACTCTGGAACAGGTACAGTGCCCACAGGATATGAATATCATTTGTTCTGTTACACTGTCATACTAGCTAGCTATTCAGAGGACTGAGTCGTTAAAATGAAAATACCCAAGATTAGAGAACTGTTTGGAAAAAGTGACCTTTAATTTCTGGTTGACTTCTGAGATAGAATCTTTATCTACCTTTGGAGATAACACCAATATCAGTTAATTTCATGTTGGACTTGTATAATTCATCTTTTAACATAAGATTTAATAAAATGAAAATGGGGTATACAAAGTCAGAGAACGTTTTCTTGAAAATTCAGTATCAGCAATTTGGCAAGCAATACATCTGGAATACAGCTGTCACAAGTCTGGAATGACCTTTGAATGGTGGGTCTTTTCCCTGGTTTATTGCTTGCTTCTCAGCAGGTTCTGCTTAGTGATCATCAAGAGAAACTGTTTCACAGGCTGCACATTGAGGACTTCGGGACATCCATGCTTAGCTTAATAGGAGAGTGACTCAGAGCCTCCTAGAAACTGCTAACATGGTTTCATATAGACTAAAGCTGTAGTTTCATCAAGTTCATGGTAAAGGCATTCACTGTTACAGGGCCGGTGCAAAAGAAATACAACTTGCATATTTCTGAAGACTTTCCTTCAGGAGTTGTAGTATCTTGGATATTTTTGGCAGTTAGCTTCATTCCCATTTTGGTTAGCACATTGGTGAAAGCTCTTAGAAATACAGCCTCTTGTTTTCCAATGTTCATGATGGCTATGTCTTCCTAAGTTGGAAGAGGGCATAGAAGTAAGAACTCTAGCTGCTTCTTGGTACAAAAGTGCTGATTAGTTTCTGTTTCTGGCTTTGGCTTTCTATTGGCAATATTTGGCCATCATATTGTTACAAAGAATTAAATCATTTCACAACACTGGTTTCATAACATTCATTCTGGTATGAGCTTTACCTCAAAACAAAGAGACCCCACACTCCATTCCCCCCCCAGCAACATCCTGATGAAATCATTGGCACAACTGGAAATAGGGTGTATAGATTAAATAGCACCCTCTCTATGCACAATGATACTATGTTTTGCTTGATACTTCAAGCAAAACAATTGTAAAACTTACATTGTAAATACAAAACTTCAGTCTTCTAGACAGGTTGGGCAAAATGATATCAAAAAGCAGCTAGTTGCTTATGTCTCTGTAGAAATCTATGTGTCTATAGAAATGTCTAAGGCAAGATTCCATTTTCTGGAATCTGAGAACAGCCAAATTTAAATTTTATTTAATTTTTTAATTGGGGCTTGTGGAATAGACTGGAGGATTTCTTACTTTCAGGGGAAGTTGGAAAAAAAACAGGCAGAACTGTAAATGTTAAAATGTGAGCTGAGCTGCTTTTTTCTCCTCTTAAATATTATCTTACAGACACTGAACAAAAGTTGTTAAGAGATTCATTTTGCAAGGCGAAAACATTGCTTTCTAAATGCTTTCTAAATGCTTTCTAAAATGCTTTCAAGTAACTACAGAAACAGTATTTGCGCGCACCTTAGTGGTTAGGCATGTCAGGAGTTCTTGAGAATTTTTATCATAGTAATTCTCAATAGATAATATTGTTTCAGGGTCTGGACGTTTTGGAAATCATGAGAAATATTCATGTTTTTGTATCCCGCTACCTCTACAATCTGAATAATCAGGTAAGGTATATCCCATACTCTTTCCTGGATTTGGCTCTGATTTGAAGGGATTAAGAACTGCAGAGTAGTATACGTGGAATAAAAACCCAGGCTGAACACACATAAAACAAGCTGTAAAATAGCTATTGCTGCTCTAGAAAAACATCTTTGGGGATGCTGTAGATAGGTCTCGGAGAATGTTCTCTAAGCATATTTTGAGTACGGTGTGCAAGTAGGATCACTCCATGTCAAATACTCCAGTGAAGCTACGAGAAGGCAGCAGGGATAATTGGCTGCTATATGAGGACATACTAAGTATGTGATTTTTCAGCTTGAAAAAAGAGTATCTGAAAATGGGTTATTAGAGAGATGAAGCAGTGAATGACATGGAGAACATGTACAAGGAACAATCCTTTGTGGTTTCTCACAATGTGAGAATGAGGGGCCCACTGAAAATGAGCGGCCTCCTTAAAGAAAAGGAAGTACTTTTTCCTCATAGCACATAATTCAGTAGTGGAACTCATTGCCATGGTATGTAGTGGGGCCAAAAGTACAAACAGGTGCCAGAAGAGTTTAGACCAATTAATGTAGGATATAGTCTCAATAAATATGAGAGTTTGGGTATGTCTGCCTTGGAATTGTTGAATTACCGCTTTGCAGAAATCGGAAGAACCTACGATAAATTTTATTGTGTGCAGGCTTTATTTTCTTGGTTCTTGCCCTAATCACTAGTTATTAGCTGCTCTCAGAAATAGAATATGGGCTACCTAGCTTGATAATTTATCAAAGAATCAGTTTTATATAACTAATATAGTTTATATAACTAATTATAGTTTATATAACTAATTTATATAAATAACTTTATTTTCTCCCCTCACCCCCCTCCCAGATCTTCATTGAAAGAACAAGTAATAACAAGCACTTGAACACTATCAATATTAGACACATTGCTAATTCAATTCGAACTCATGGAACAGGAATCATGAACACAACAGTGAGTATCTTTTGCACTGTTACTGGAATATTTTTTTTAATAGTGCACAAAAGCCTACAAACTCTTGCATCTCCTAATGGTTTATTTGGTTGTGCAGTTTTGATAGTGCAATAATAATATTCTGTGTGTATTAATAAAACAAATCAGTTCTTGGACATGACACAAATCAATATCACAATCTCTTGGGAGTTATGCCACTTCCAGTTGTTACATAAAAGTTAATGAAGAGATCTAAAAACCACATCAAAGAAGATACAGATGTTCTGGTGGGACTCTGAATTTCAGTAAAGATAATACTTATCAAACTAGCATAGTAAAATATTTTGATTTATAAGCTGCCTGCATAAATCAGCATGCTCTAAGTTTCTCCTTGTTGACACTTATTGACATAAGTATCGACAGATACTTTTGCTGCAGTTAAAGCAAATCCTGAAGAAATGCAATGTTGATTTTTTTTTTTTTAAGTTCCTCTTGTAATCGTTAAGCTTAAGAAACATCAGCTTTTCAATTTGCAAAATAAAAGCTACAGATCTCTGACCATTTATTGGAAGACTGCGACTTCTTACTGCAATGCTTTTAATGGTGTCTGTAGTGTAGGTGGTCATTTTAACCAGCCGAAGGCATTTACCTCTTTGCAAGGTAGAT